TAAGAAGTAAGTGGCCTCGCGGACTGAGTGCAGGGGCTGCGGATATGGGCTTGCGGAGGTCTCGAGTTCAAATCTCACTAATCACCTTAGGATTTTTCAGGTCCGGTCCCTTTTAATGGAGTTCATCGGTTGATCGGCGAGCTGTATCAGACCTTCAAAAACTAATTCAAGTGAAATCTCGAAATTCCCCTCGTTTTTAAAACTTTTGCAAGAGATATCATTTGCATGTTTTTGATGTGGATATTAGCAGTCTCAGGCATATCCCTGAGATATTATTTGAACATCATTACTCGTTCGAAAATGTCTCAACGAGATATCTTTTGCACATTCAAAGTCTCTGTGAGATATCTTCAAGACATCTTAAATACATCATTGTGCCGTCTGGGCGAAGATGACTCCCATTTTCTGCTGATTAGGGTGTTGTGAGAAGTAGTTGAGTAACGACCTGAAAACGTGGGTTTTTGATACCAATTTAGTATGAGAGTGTCATTGACGACCATGATCGTAGAGTCAAGAAAATTGATAGATCTATCCTCCTCCAATTCAATCGTAAATTTTAGGCGAGGATGATACGAATTAAAAGTGTGGAAAATAAGATCAACCATCTCTCCAGGAGCAGCCATGAGGATATCGTCAACATACCGATAATAAAACGTTGGATTTAAGTTCATAGTTTTGAGGCACTTCTCCTCAAGATCTTGAAAAACAATGTCAGCTATGATCGGCGAGAGAGAAGACCTCATAGGAGCAACATAAGTTTGTTGGTAAATAGTACCATTAAATGTGAAGTATGTTGACGACAAAACGAACTTAAGCCTTTGATAAAAGATTCTAGTGGTATACCGGTATGATCTTTTACGTGATCCCACCTCCTTCTCACATCCTCAACAGCTAACTCCAAAGGAATGTTTGTGAACAGCGAGACAACATCAAGAGACAGCAATATGTCCGACTTCCCGATGCGTCGGCCCGACAAGCTACCAAATAGATCAAACCTGTTTTGCACAAAACTCCGAGGTTTGGGTAAATGTCTGAATAATATACCGTGTAAAATCGAGGCAAACGCAAACAATGTAGTATTAGTGCAAGAAACGATTATTCTAAGAAGAACATCTTGCTTATGAATTTTTGGCAGCCCGTAGGCCCTAGGCAGCGGTCTGTCATCAATGAGTAGTAGGCGCTAGAGCTAATATAATTCGCACGCTTCTAAGCTTTTAAACACTCAGTCAGCCTATTTTTTGTTTTCTTTGCAGGGTTCTGAATATTAGATATAGCATAAGAGCTAACGTCTTTTAACATAAATTCTATTTTGGAGATGTAATTGTCTCTATTTAAGGTTATCGTGACATTGCCCTTGTCCGTTTTTGTAAAAAGAATGTTCGGATGTTCTTTAATGAAAGCTCTAGTATGCTTAACGCTATCAATAATATCTTTCTCAAAATTATTTAAGTAAGGATGATCATTAATGAAGCGCCCAAATGACGAAGAAGTGAGAGAGCGCACAAAGGGTTTTATAGATTGATCAGATTTTTTAATATTATTCTCTACGTCTTTGATGATCTCAAGAGACATTTGTCTCTTGTGACACTGAGAAGGCAAGCTAAACCTTTCACCCAATGCGAGAAGATGGCGAATAGTGTCAGGGATATTGATTCCTGTGAGATTAACAAACCATTTGCACCTCTAGTTGTATACTACATCACAAACACTACTCAGGAGAGCCGGCTCAACAACAACTTTGAGTGATTCATTTGGAAGAGGTTCATTAAAAGAGTAATTAAAGCGAGAAGGTTTGTCAGTGTCACTATCGTTAGAACAAGCCACAAAATAAGAGACGTTTTTGATAGGTTTACTGTTTAAATTGATAGTTTCCTTTCTCAAAAGCCAAAGTATTTTTCTGTCCATTTTTTTTAATTCATACCGTTTTAATTTGCAAAGAGAAAAGGCTTGAGTATCAAAAAACCTGTTCCAAAAATAGGCGGGCAAACTCGCAGAAAGATAATTAGTTAAATGCAACAAGTCGCGGCAAAGCATTGACAACGAGCAGTAAGCGTCTTTAATCTCTAAATTAATAATTTTCAACGCAAAAATTTTCTTTGAGTCATTCAACTTGCATAAAAGATTTGAATTAAACAGATAAATGTTATTCAATTTAACCAAATTATTAATATGTGGTGGTATTACTTTATTACAAAATTTACAAGAAGAAAGAAGATGATGTCTTGCTAACACTCTGATAATTTTTACATTTAAATTTATCCAACGCTTTAAAGACAAATACAAGTCAAAATCAAGAGATTCATAAATAAAGTCAAAAAACGAGGTCGGTGTTTCTGCCATGTTTCTCTCGCTTGCTGACATGCGTTAACGGTTCCCGTACCATTGACTTTGATGTGCGTATAAATCTTTATGTAATATTTATATTAATTTTATCTTTATTTATTTATTTTTTAAAACCGTATGAGCTCACGGACACGTTCTCGCTTGTGGGCATATCCCCACCGCCTCGACAGAACCTACCTAGTAGAGGAGATTGGGTGGAGCGGACGGACGATTCCCCTTGCCCTTCGCGTCTGTTAGCTTGTGGGTAGAGCGAATTCTTGTGAGCTGTCAATAGTACTTTCCTAAGACCGATCTCGAGGTGCTGACTCGAGACTCCGAATCCGTTACTCGCTCTCCGAGGACACCGGAGACACCGTTCTCGATCTCGAGGTGTTGACTTGAGATTCCGTTTCCGTCTCTCGAGGTGTTGACTCGGAGACACCGTTCCCGATCTCGAGGTGTTGACACGAGATACCGTTTCTGTCTCTCGAAGTGTTGACTCGAGACACCGTTCCCGATCTCGAGATGTTGACTCGAGATACCGTTCCCGTCTCTCGAGGTGTTGACTCGAGATACCGATTCCGTCTCTCAAGGTGTTGACTCGAGAATCTCGTTTCCTGAAGAGTTGACTCAGGAGTACGAACCTGGTCCCGAGAAGTTGACTCGGAAGGTTACTTTCCAGAAACCGAGGTGCTGACTCAGTTTCTGTCCATACGCGCTCACGACCTCCGCGCCGCGACCGCAAGCCAAAGGCATTCCCTCACCGCTGTATATAATCGCGTAACATCCCCGTTGTAAATACTCGCGTTCCCCGAACACTACCCGCGCCGCATAGTCGTTAAGAATCTGCATCAAAGCGATTACGGCACCGCGCCGCCATTGTATCATATTTCTCAGAAAAATATAGAAAAAGTATATCAGAAAAACAAATCAAGCGTATCCTCTTTTCAGTATGTTCTTACCAGCAACAGTTTTCAAAATATAATTACAGCAAGTTCGCAACAACTCATCGGCAATAAACTTATATTATTTTTTTCAACTTATGAATAAAAATTGTTGCTCATATATTGCTCACATATTGCTGACTCACTTGCCATAAACATTGGCTACAACACTTGATTGATAATAAAACTCAGCATATTGATACTGAATTGACAAAAACATTTTCGTTGCATTAAATAAAAACAACATAACAGCAATTGGCGAGCAACTTAATCTATACAATGATTTGCTTTATATTGAGTTTTCACATTTGGCTATCTGGGTACAAACATGTTTATATCGATAACAAAGAGAGATGAATATCAAGTTGAAAAACACATTTAAATTAACGGATTATCTTTTAGATTTAAACAGATCTAAGAAAGAGAAATAAGGTTTCAGTTCTTCGGTATCAGATTTGACATTGATCGGATTGTCTTGTAGTTGAATATGGAGCATTTCAGAAATAGATCTTATAAAAAAATTTTTCTTTATCTAAAATTTTAACATCGTTCCAAACAAATTCGTGATTACGAGGTTTGTCCCAAAAGTATCGAGCCTACCTTCATATCTCCGCATCGGTGTTAATCTTTATCATCCGGTGAGTGACATCCTTCAAAGTAGTCCCCATTTGATTGAATAACACGTTCCCAGCGGTGTTTCCACTTCCTGAAGC